GAATGATTATTTTATACACGTGATATAAGGTCTCCTAGGGAGAAAGTTTAGAGTGTGATTAATCCAAGATTTCAAAAAATTCAGTATATAAAGATTGGATAAGGGAAAGTACCAAAAGCAAATGTGGAGAGTTAAGCTTAAAATGAGGAGTATCATCATGAGAGTCTGGGGAAAACCATAGCTTTAGAATAAAGGCCAGTGCTGTAAAATGCTTTGCAAAGGTCAGCTTACAAAGAATAAGATATTATTAATTATAGTAGAGCCACTGATGTAACAGTTGACCTTAGCAAGAGATAAGACATTAAAATAATGGCATTCAGAAGGAGACAGTTGACTGAAAAGGGAGAGAGGACGAGAGTGCAGTGATTGTAGAGAGAAAGAGGAAAATAGAGAGGCAAGAGGACCAGTGGTAGAGAAAGAAGAGACTGGAAAATCTCTAAGTAATAAAGGAGAACATCTGCATAAGTGAATTAGAACAACGGAGTTTTGTAAAATGATTTGGAAAATAGCAGGGAGGATGTCTGGATGAATATTTGCTTTATTATGAAAGGATGAAAGGAGAACATGTGAATATAGATGTTTTTGGCCCAGAATATTGAAAGAGTTCCATTCTTGTATTTCTAGCTTCTCTTTAAAGTAGGAAGAAAAAGATCAAGAGGCATTCAGACATTTGAAAGATTTTTAAAAGGGGTAATTTTACTAGCTTCATGTTGTAATTTCAAAGTGAGGAGGTTATAGGCTAAGGATTATTCTCCACCTCTTTTGTACATTTTCTTAGTGGAAAAAATATCAAAATGTTATCCAAGCAAGATTTTTCTGCCTCTTGGAAGAAATAACAAAAAGTCATCTATTTAAAATATTGGGTTAAAACCACATAATGTTCTTGATATGGCTCTTAATTTATCCAAATGAAATCCTGAATCAAATATAGTTTTATTTTTATGTGCTATAGTTTTTTTCCAAACCAGTAAGAGGAGAATTAATGTGGAGAAATTAATAACTGCTTCTAAAATTCAATTTTGATCAATCTAAGCTTATTTTGGCATAGAAAATATTGTACAGAATATGAGTTACTCTTTTTCTATTTTCAAATAACTAGGCAATATTCCCATAGTGTAAAAATGCATAATTCAAGTATTTCTTACTCAATTAAATAACACATTTATCTAATATTACATTCCATTATAAGCATAGCTCTATTTCTTAATTTTAGCTTCAAAGGCACATTGTAATAATTATATTCATTGGATTTATTTTTATTTATTTATTTATTTTTTGGTACTGGGGTTCGAACTCAGGTCCTTGTGCTTGTGAGGCAGTGGGCAACACTGCTGAGCTCAATTGCCGGCCCTGTGTTCATTGGATTTAGATTCTGAAACATATCAAGGTATAATAATCACATTCTATTACTGTGTTTTAAAAAATGTGAACAACAATTCTTGTTAGCATCTTATACATTTAGCTGTTTCTGCTCTTTTCTTCATGTATTTTGGGAGAATTGAGCCCAAGGCCTCATCCGTGCTACACAGGTACTCTGACACTGAGCTACATCTTCAGGCCTTTTAATTCTGAACTGGAATCTTGCTCAATTTCCCTGACTGACCTTGACCTTGTGATCCTCCTGCCTTAGTCTTCCAGAATAACTGCTTGGCTTTAATTCCTTTTAAGAACTTTATAAACAGAAAATTTTAAATGGTCTTCAGGTACAGTTTTACTACTGCAAATCAGCACACAAAGTAAATTAATGTTAGTCTTTATGCCCTTAAAGCATTAAATGAAAATAATTCCTATGAGGCTTGCTATCCTCTTCTGAGATAAAGTATTAAAAAGAGTTCTAGAACTGGACTTTTTCTCCCTTATCTAAATACAATCTCATTTTTTTCTATCTGTCCTTATGGAAAAGGCTTCAGGCCCACGGCTTCTTTACACAATATTAGTAGGGTTAGGAAAGCATTTTTTTTTCCAGAAGTTTCTTTTCAGTTGGTGAGAAGGCATAAAAAACTCCAGTGCAATTTCAGTGAGCTGTTCCTTCTTTCACTAGAGATGGAATTAAAACTAAAAGTTCAAAAGAGGGCCTTGGGTTGTTTTCATAATTCTTCCTCATTTTATAGAAATTCCTGCAGTGTGTGTGTGCCATCAATTTTAAAGATGAACTAATGGTAAATGCATTTTCCCTGTAGAATACATTCTTACATAGTCTCAAACAGGCTCATGCATTATAGGCTTGAGGAAGTCACAGCAGGGTTTCCTGCAGACCAGTTTCATGCACCGCATGGACTCCCCCGTCCAGTCAAAAAGCATCTTGCTGCTGCTCTCCCCTCTTCCACTGGTAACTTTCTCCATCCTGCTCACCTGCCCCACTTTCAGCTCTTCGGCCTGCAAGCTCCTGTCCAAATTTTATGACTGCAAGCTCCTGTGTGAATGTTAATAGAGACCCAGCCTTGATATTCATCTTCCATTTTTTTTCTAATTAAATATTTACTGGAATATTCCAGCAAGTACCCTGGGATCTTTGTTTGTTTGGTTCCCATTGCTTTTGTTTTTTCTTAAGTTAGTGAAAGACAGTTCATATCACTTACAACCAAAGTGCTTTAACTATTATTGAAGTCAATTTGTAACACTTTCACTTTTACAATATGGGAAAAGGAAGCTTCATTAGTTGCTCAGTGAATAAAAAAATGAAATTATTTTGCTGAAAATGATGACATTCTCAGAATAATTAGATCTAATAGTGGTACTGCTGGGATACCTGCTAAATTAACTAAGTAATCAGGGCAAACAAACCACATTAGGACTCCTTTCTAAATATTTGCCTTTTGAGAGTGATCTTTTAAATTTTACTGCTTAGAAATTCCAGGTTGGCTTCACGGTGATATGCCTGCAAGTTTGCCCTAGTACTGTCATTTCTTTTGCTTTTATTAACAGGTCATTTATTATAAATGCAACTTATTTTTCACTTGACCTGAGCGAAAAGGCCAAGAAGCGATTAACTGCAACTTATTTTTCAATATCAGTCTTTTTTGTCAGAAATTCCTCAAGGACTAAGACCTCCTTTCAGTTTTTCCACTATTCTCAGTACCTAACAGAATTCCTGAGAACATGTACTCCAAATACTTATGTTAAGTGGATCAATTAGCACATGAATGGGTTAAAGAAGATAATGCCAATTTTTTCTTACATTAGTGCAAACAGTTTTCTTTACATTCACCTACATGCAATAATCACATAACTTTCAGTCAGAGAGAATCCATCTAATCAATTCCTCCTCTATCATCAAGTGATTTGTAAGTCTTTGAAGGGATATAGCTAGTCATAAATTCTGCATTCTCCAGGAATCTTTATTCTAGTTCAGATCTTGAGTCTTTTCAATCCATGTAGACTTTAAGGATTCACAAATATCTTCCATGTGTCTAAGTGAATTTATCACCCCCAGGGAGAAAATTCAGAGCTTGCATTACATTCTCAGTAGGGAACAGAATCCAAGAATTATGAGACACTGACTGAAACAAAAACAGTTACAGGTTAAATGGGGAAAAAGCGATACATGAGAATCCAAGAGTCCAGTGTTGTTGGAGCAGAAAGAAAGAAGGGTATACCGGAGATCTGTATGAGAATTAGTTATGGAGCCTGCAGGACTTGATAAGTGGGCTGGGTTTAGACAGTTGGAGTGGAGTGAAGAGATGCCTGACCATTCCACAGAATGAGACTTCACATGATAGGCAGAGTATGTGTCTAAAGTAAATACAGACCGGATGGCTTCATTTCTATCCCTAGTCAGAATCAAGTTTTGAAGAGTTCTTCAGTGCTCTTATTACTAAATAAAGGAATATTCGATAGATGGAAAAATGTGGGAAAGAAGGTGAAACATTGGTTAGATACTAAGGATAGAGTATCTTAGGCATTAAATGCTCCCAGATCTCAAAACATTGTTAGGAACTGGAAACTACTGTCACAATATATTGTATTGAATATTAAGATAGAAAAATAAAAATATGTGCTCTTTTTCTGGTTGTTTTTAAAAAAGGAAATTGCTAAAGATACATATTGGAGGGGCACTTTAAGGTGATGAGTCAAAAATTCTTTTCATACAGGATTAATTAGAAATAAGTTTCTAATAAAAGGTGAGAGATGAGAAAGGTAAAATAAGTGGATATAGTTAAGACAAAAAAAAAAAACAACACTTGGGGCTAGGGATATATGTAGTTCAGAGGTAGTCTTTGCCTAACCTGTGCAAGGCTTTGAGTTTAATCCTGGGCAGAAGTGGGGGAAGGGGAGAGTTAGAGGGAGAGAGGAAGAAAAAAGAAGAAGAGGAGGAGGAGGGAAAGGGGGGAGGAGGAGGGGGAGGAAGAAGAGGAGGGGAGAAAAATAGATCACTACGTAAAGACAGCGCTAAAGAAGTATGTAAAATCCATGTTACTCTTAAGCCACAATTGTTTCGCCACTGGACTTCTGACTCCCCTTCTTGTTTCCTTTTAATTTTATTATCTTAGTTTAAAAACATAATCAGAAAATGTACTTTTTTGTCAAAATTTAGCTTATCTTTTATTGAAGTAACTTCTTTGCTAATATCCTCTGTGCTTAATTCTGAGGGGGAAATAAAAAACATGGGAGACATATTGTTGGCTTCAACTCCTAGAGAGAATTAACTGATCTCCATGGCAGACCATCCGATATGGCTGAGGGAGGAGTCAGGGAGAAGGTAGGTGTGGCTGTGGGCCTAACTAGGCCTAAGTTCCTATCAGGATTTTCAGAATTTCAGAGCAGCAGTTTGGCCACCAATGAAAATTATGTATTTAGAGTAAGAGTGGTGGTTCAGTGTGTACTTGAATTCACATACTTGTTCTCCAAAAGGAAAAACTACAGAAAAGATTTATGTAGGATGGCAAACTACTTTTATTTTACAAAACAGGGCAAAATGATCAGGCAAACAGGCAATAAAACATAGCAACAAATGAACATTATCTGCTATTACCAACATCATCTAAAAGAAAGAATGTAACACCATAATGTGAACACAGTTGGTTTTATTGAAAAAACTGCTCCACCATCACTCCTTCTCTCATTTTGTGGTGCAGCTGCAAGCGGACCTTACACAGGCACCAGTCTGCTGACAGGTCTGGAGATCTCTGCCTGCATCCACTCAGGCTGTTCCTGGAGAGAAGGGGAAAGGAAAACACCAATCCCCGGACCTATTGCAGATGACAGTGCTGATCTGTGTGTTAGTTACAGAGATCAGCATAGCATTCTGTCTCTCCATGAGATTCCACTGAATAACCAGAATTTAGGGAACACTATCTTAACTCTACTTTGCTCCTTTTAAGCTACGTCTGTAGCCTTTAACATATTCCAATCTCAGAATATCACACACTCTAGATTTTCTCTCCTTATTGGGAAATTAAATTTTTTTTTCCTAAATAATATGTGATGCATCTCTTATAATAAGATTTACATAGTAAATCACACTTCTTTAATTTCCATAAGATTCCGAATGCTTTGTTGCTACTTGAGTAATAGCCTTGCCAAGAGCCCTCTGCAATGTGTAATTTATTTCATTTAAATAATTTTGGTGGGTAAACACCTCATCTCAACATCCAGATGTAATTACTATCATAAAGAGTCTGTTAGAATGTGGAGGAGTAGGTTCAAGTCAGAATTAAATACTGACTTTTTAAAATGCAAATTGCTTACAGTGAGGTCATGATGGAAGAAATCCATTTTGCCCTACAGAATAAGTGAGGCAACAGCATACATTCCAGAGCTAGATTCTGTTTCTGAGTAAGACAGATACTCTGTTTTCTTCTGCAAGAATTGGGAATTTCTAATACAATTTTAAATAATGGGCTCACTCAAGAGTAAAATAAATGCATTTACCTTGTAATATAATAAAACATCTCATGAGCCTAGGGATTATACAGTGGTAATGTCTATTTCTCTGTAAAGAAAAACAACTGTTCCTAAGGGGGGGATACTATTGTTTAAAAGAGAGTATGTGTTATTCATAGCAAAATATTGGCAAACATACTCAATGTCTTTGAAATGTCTACAATTTTCAGGGAGAAAATTTAATGTGAAGGTGTTTACAACAGAAATTAAATCCAAATAAACCTATGTCCCTATGTTTTCTCTCTCTCTCTCTCTCTCTCTCTCTCTCTCTGTTTTTTTGTTTTTGTTTTTGTTTTTTTTGGTGGTACCAAGGATCAAACTTGGTTCCTTGAATAAAACTTGGGTCCTTGAGCTTGTGAGGCAGGAGGCGGAAACACTGAGCTAAATCCCTGGCCTGCCTCTTATTTTCTTGTGGTTTAAATTACTGTTACAGTTTTAAAGTTCTTAAGTCATCGATTCAAAAATTTGATCACTTTAATTTCAATTTTATTTATGTAGCAGTATGAAATGTAATATTCAATATTAAAGCAGATTTTTTCCAAAAATTTTATACTATCTTTATAAGGCACTCCAAATGTAAAATAATTAAAATATGTAAGAAAATTTTGCTTTGTTTCAGCTTATGAGCCCCACAAAGTTTATGAACCTGGAGATACTGGCCTACTTGTTTATTACATTTATGAATAGGTAAGCAAATATTGCTTGGCTATTGTATCAAATCATAACTAATCAGCTTAATTAATTTTTCATCCGGTGAAGAACAAAATCTAAAAAGAAATTTCTGTTCTTTCAATCTCTAATGCTTAAGTTTTTATGGCTATGATTCACAGACACATATTTTACTTCCTTATTATGTAAAAATCCATGTGCATTCATATAAAGCAAACTATTTAGAGCTCATGATATTGTCTCAGCTATTATAATCAAATTGTTTCAATTATCTTGGTTTTGCAAGATAGCAAGTTGATATCTTCAGCTGGAAAGACACTCTATCAAGCTTTCATAACAATTCTTTAAAAATGACCTAGACTGCATTAGTTTAGCTTTTCAGAGAAACACCTAAATAGTACAAAGGTTCAACACCAGCCTCTTGACTCAGATGTATAGCTATGTGTAAAAAAGGCATAAGCACACCACATATTAATATTTTATAACACAAAACATTTATATTATTTTAGTCATAAAATAACTTCTGCATAGAATTGAATACTACGAACATGTAGAAACCCTTCATGAATTGATGTTTTCTTTAACAGATCAACAGACCTCTACAAATCTACAATACTTACTTGTTTCTAAGCTTTTGAGAAAGCTTCAGTCTCTTTTGTGATCATTTTCAGCAGGTCTTTCTGTCTTGACTCCCCAGCAGAATTACTGGTAATACAGATCAAAGAGCCCTGATTGAGACTCCTAAAACAAAAGAAAGGTTAACAAGAGAAAAGCCTAACATTAATCAAGGTTTTAAATGACATAGAGACTTTCAAAAAAAAAAAAAACCTATTTATGTACTGAGCTGAGAAAGAAGCGGCTATTTGTGGAGAAACACAACTGAGTAGAGAGGTCTGTTCAGACTCTTCATGGCTTCTCTCTGCAGCACCCTTCTGCCAGGTATGGACCAAAACCCAGTAAATGGAAGCTCTCGTGACTTGTGTTCAGGGACAGTGGAGCAAACCTAGAAGAGAAGGTGAAACTTAGTCTAGTTTCAATGATAAGCCTAGGCTGAAAGAACTCTGCTTTCTACAACATGCATAGAGGGAGAGAGGAAGTAGGAGTGAAGAGAGACCTTCTCAGTCTTCTGTTCAAAGCATTCAGCAGGCCAAGCACCTTATTTTGCTCTTCTGAGACATCACATCCTTTCAACTCCCACTTTAAAACACTGTCCCATCCCTTATTTCATTTAATGAGTGACTTTAGATAAGATTGAGAAACAGCCAGTTTATAAATAATAAAGTAAACAAATGAACTGGAGGAGGCGTGTTAACGTTTGTTCTCAAGATTTTCACTTATTCTCAGTTTAGATAAACTCTGTACTAGCTTTCTTCACATGAATATTGTAGGAAGAGAGTTGGCCACGTTTGCAAAGAAAATATATTTAGAATTTTGCCTAAATCTGCCTGTTTCCATAATTATATTTTAATTAAATATTGCAGGACAAATGTTCAGCAATTACTAATCCTTACAAACTTTTTTTTAAAGCAAAGAAATAGCTAATGTTTAATAATTAGGTATATGTTTTTGGCACAACTTTTTACATGTTAAAAATGGGCTTTAGTGTCTCCTCTTCACAATATGATCTTTCTGCTAAAACTGAAGCTTGAATACAATTCTCAAGATTGACTTCCTGCAAAGGGTGAAAGCGGTACGTACCAGCTGCCAGGCAGTTAGACCACACATCTCAGCTCAGTACAAACACTGAACTCCCAGCACTTCAGGGAATGACTGATGAGCCCATGTGTGCCAAGTCTACCAGATGTCTATTTCCATGTGGTGATGGGCCTTCACCCTCCCTGAGTTGCTGCTCTTGGTCTTATGAGGCACCATTGTCTCTACAGGGTCAATGTCTTACATCAGCATAGCCTTTTGTCTCATGTTCTGTGTGGCATTTGCTTAAGACATTTTAGAGGTATGACCTATGCTATTGTGACTTTCCCTTGCAAGGACACTCTTAGAAATCACATCATCCCTGTTCCTGCCTAGTTAATAGTTCTCTTTCTAAACTGCCCTGTTGAGCCACTTTTAAAGAACTACATGCAGGGATGAAGTTGGGAGAACTATCTACCTACTTTCTATACCCAGCCAGTCCTCATCTTGAATACTGAATCTTCCTTTGATGAATGTGCATGTCTTACCATCACAGAAAGGTTTGCTTCTCTGAGGATTATAAAAACATTTTCTGATTTCATATAATTATCTCTTTCTTTGAGTCTTGTTCAAAAAAAGGGTCGGGCTTCACCTTTACAGATGTCTTCTTGTTATGTGGCTTCCACTATCTCCTCTCTTGGGTGTCTTCTGTTTTTTGAGTTCTGCATCTATTTTATTGCTGTTGTTGTTGTTGTTGTTGTTGTTGTTATGTGTGATTTTGGTTTTGTTGTTGTTGTTGTTTTACTTTGAACCACAAGTACACTGAGGGCTAATCTTTTGTTGAAACCCCAGGATGATACTCTGTTGGCTGAAGGAAGATGCCACAAGCTCAAGCTTTGGCCTGACTACTCTGGTGGGTGGCTCCTCTACCAGGGCTAGATTTTATTAACATCTAGAGCATCATAAGCTGTGAGTGAACTGGAGAATGTTCCCAGGGCATGTGTATCACCCACCCAATTTATCAAATTTTTTCCATGTAAAAGGCCATTAGTAGTCTAAGGATGTAAAAGTGACTGGCCACCTTTTGAAAATGTTTACTTCTCAAGAATTAAATTAACAATATTCCCTTAAGAAGTATTTAATTCTGAATGAGATAGTCTAACTTGACACTAAAATAGCTAGCTGAGCCTTAAGCTGTCGGATGCAAAGATATATAGCTTATTTCTTTTTCTTTAGTAAAATAATTTATCTCTATACTTTGTAGTTTATGTTTCTCATACTTCTTATACCCATCTTTACCTCCCTAGACTAAAGTCACAGCCTTAAGTCATTACATGTTCATCTGATGCCTTGAGAGTTGCAATTATTTTTTATCACTTCTTTTAATAATTACTTTTTTTAAAATTGGGTTTCTTGGTACATTTTAGGTATGCAGTATAGTTACATATATTATTGGGATCTTGTACCTTTGCTTTCTCTTCATCTATCGATAGGATAATATGTTTTTTGTCCTTGACTTTGTTAATATAATGTATTACATTTAATGACTTATTTATATTGAACATCCTTGCATCCCTGGAATAAATCCGACTTGGTTAAAATGTATGATCTTCTTGTTGATCCTCTTTATTCTCTTTACTAGTATCTTATTAAGGATTTTTGCATCTATATTCATTAAGGAGATTGGCCTGTAGTTCTCTTTTTTAGTTGTGTCTTTCCCTGGTTTGGGGATCAATGTAATTCTTGCTTCCAGGAATGAATTTGGAAGTATTGCTTCGCTTTCAACTTCATTGAAAAGTTTGAAGAGTAAAGGTGTAGTTCTTCTCTAGATGTCTTGTAAAATTCAGCAGTGAATCCAACAGGGCCTGGGCTTTTCTTTGTTGGTATATTTTTAATTACATTTTCAATTTCACTGATTGCAATTGGGGTGTTTAAAATGTTTTTATCTTCTTTGTTCAACTTTGGTAACTCATAAGTATCTAAAAATCTGTCCATTTCTTCTCTGTTTTCCATTTTATTAGAGTACAGGTTCTCAAAGTAGGTATTGACTATCCTCTGGATTTCTGTTGGATCTGTTGTGACTTCACCTTTTTCACTCCTGATAGCGAGGATCTGAGCCTTTTCTTTCCTTTTGTTGATAAGGTTAGCTAAGGGTTTATCATTTTTTTTTATTCTTTCAAAAAATCAACTCTTCCATTCATATATCTTTTGTATCATTTTCTTAGTTTCCATTGCATTGATTTCTGCTCTAATCTTTATAATTTCCTCTCTTGTTCGAGCTTTGGGTTTTTCTAGTTGTCTAAGATTCATCATTAGGTTGTTTGTTTGAGCTTGCTCTGTTTTCCTAGTGTGGGCATTCAGTGCTATGAATTTTCCACATAGAACTGCTTTCATTGTGTCCCATAGATTCCTGTATGTTGTTTTGGCATTATCATTTATTTGCAAAAACTGATTTCTTCTTTAATTTCCTCTGTGATCCATTGTTCAGGAGAGTGTTGTTCAATTTCCATGTGTTTGTGAAGTTCCTACGGTTTCTTGTGCTACTTATCTCCAGCTTGATTGCTCTATGATCTGATAATATACAGGGAATAAGTATTCTTTGTATTTATTCAAGCCTGTTGTGTGAGCAAGTGTGTGATCTAATTTGGAGAATGAACCATGTGCAGCTAAAAAGAATGTATATTCTGATTTTGTGGGGTGGAACACTCCATACAACACATCTATTAAGTCAATGCGTTCAAAAGCTTTGTTGAGCTCTAGTATTTTGTTGTTCATTTTCTGCCTAGATGATCTGTCTATTTGTGAGAGTGGGGGGTATTTAGATCCCTCACTACAATTGTGTAAGTTTTTATGTGATTTTTCATGTTTCTTAATATTTCTTTTATATAGTTAGGGGCATTAATATTTGGTGCATATATGTTTATCATTGTCATCTCTTCCTCTTGAATTGTTCCCTTTACAGGATGTAGTGGCCTTCTTTCTCTCTATTAATCAGTTTTGGTTTGAAATTTACTTTGTCTGCGAATAAGATTGCTATCCCTGCTTTTTTCTGGGCTCTTGTCATGTGAAGAATTGTTTTCCATCCTTTCACTTTCAGTCTATGGGCTTCTTTTTGCACTAGGTGTGTTTCTTGTATACAACATATTGTTGGATTTTGCTTGTTAATCCATTCTGCCAGTCTATTTCTCTTGATTGGTGAGTTGAGGCCATTGACATTGATGGTTATAACTGATATGTCCTGACTTATTATTGTCATGTTATTGGCCTTTTGTTGAATTTTTTTTACTTTTTCACCTTCTCCTTTTAGTTTCTTGCCTTGCCTATTTGATTTGCTCTGTTGGGCTTCATGCTGTTGTTACATTCGTTGTCTTTTTCTAGGATATTGTTTAGAATTGCTTGTAGTGCTGGTTTGGTATTCATGTAGTTTCTCAGGTGTTCTTTGTTGTGAAAGTATCTTATTTCCCCATCCATTTTGAAAGAGAGTTTTGCAGGATACATCAGTCTAGGTTGGAGGTTGTTTTCTTTTAGGACTTGAAATACCAAACTCCAGGCTCTCCTTGTCCTAAGGGTTTGTGTTGAAAAGTGTGCTGTGATTCTGATGGGCTTTCCTTTGCATGTGATTTGTTTCTTTTCTCTAACTGCTTGTAGTATTTTATGCTCCTGTTGGGCTTCTGGAATCTTGATTATTATATATCTTTCTGTAGATTTATTTTGATTATGGCTAGTTGGAGTCCTATATGCCTAACTTATCTGTATGTCAAATTCTTCCCTTCTGTTTGAGAAGTTTTCTGTCATTAATTCTGTGAACAGCTTTTTTATGTCATTTGTATTTTCTCCTGCTACTTCATGGATTCCTAGCTTTTTTATGTCATTTGCATTTTCTCCTGCTACTTCATGGATTCCTATCAGTCTTATGTTATTCTTCTTTGCAATCATATAGGAGTTGTTGGATCAATTTCTCATGATCCCCTACTGTTTTTAAGAGACTTCTTTTTTCCAGGTCACTGACTGCAATCTTATCTTCTATATCTGAGATTCTACCTTCTCAATATTTTATTCTGTTGTGAATACTTTTAATGGAGTTTTTAATCTCATGAATGTCTGTTTGAATCTGTTTAATGGATTCCATTTCTTTCTTATGTTGGGCGTTCATTCTTTCCATTTCTTTCTTATGCTGAGCCTTCATGATTTCTATTATTATATTCCTGAGCTCATCTATTTTTTTGTCAGTTTCTGTTCTATAGTCTCGAATCATGGCTTTCATTTTGCTCACCATCTCTATGGTTATCTGGGAAATTATTTCTGTTTTGAATTTTTCTAGAGCCTGATTGATCTATTTTTTACTTCCTGTGCTATGGGTTCAGGGTGTCCTCCTGTTCACTATCAGACTTTTCATTCTCACTTGCCCTACTGTTTGCCATTGGCGAACTGAAAGTCTTCATGTCTTGCTTAAGTGATTTCTCATTTTTATTTTTTTTGTTGTTGCTGTTGGGTTGTCTTGGCTTAATTTTGGGGTTATTACTTAAATCTTGCTGATATAGTTGTGCTTTAGCTTTTGGGTCTCTAATGA